CCCTCTGAGCATCCTTGCACGCTATGTTGCTCCTGGGAGACACCGACCAGAGCACATGGCTGCAGCGAAGAGGGTATTGCGCTACCTGTGCAGTACGTCGGGCATGGGGCTAGTGCTTGGAGGGCGGAGTCCAGTGGTCCTTACTGGGCACGCAGACGCTTCTTGGGCTGACGACCAGGCTACGCAGCGGTCGTCACAGGGTTACACCTTCAGCCTTGGTTCCGGCTCTGTCTCGTGGCGGTCTACTCGCTCGTCTTCGGTTCTCGGCTCCAGTTGTGAGGCTGAGATCTACGCCGGGGCCATGGCTGCACAGGAGCTTCGCTGGCTCACCTACCTGCTGACTGACCTTGGAGAGCTGCCTCGTTCTCCTCCAGTGCTGTACGTAGACAACAAGGCCATGTTGGCCTTGTGTCGAGAGCAGCGCTTGGAGCACAGAACGAAGCACATTGCTCTCCGCTACTTCCTTGCTCGTGAGCTGCAGCAGCGTGGTCAGTTGCGACTTGCTTACGTGGCCTCTGAGGCCAACACTGCTGATGTGTTCACCAAGGCACTTGTGCCTTGCGACCATCAGCGCTTTTGTACCCAGCTGGGTCTTGTACCTGTCTTGCCTCACTTGCTCTCTTCTTGACTTTACTTGTACTTTGACATATATATACCTGCTCTTGCTTGTCTAGTTTTATATATATGTCTGTACTCCTGCATGTGAACTGGCCTCTGGCCTTGCTCTTGTGCTCGGACTGTGTGGTGACTTTGTGACCCACCCTGAGCTTGCTTTGCTTTGCTTTGCTTGACTGGTCTTGTGACCCCTTGTTCTCCCCCACTTTGCCTATGGGGGTGTGTCAGATTATTATAGCTGATGCATGTTTGTAGGCTATAGTGGGGTAGCACATATGGGGTACAGTTTGCTAGGGTTGTATTTGTACCCAACTCTGACTTAGTCAATCCATTCTTGTTCATTCCTTTCACATTCATTTCCACTATGCACCAATTGTGGGAGCGCACGCATAAACGTCTTCTGACTATCCAGCAGCAACAAAAGAAGCTCGCTGATCGGAGTCGCAACGATCATTCCATCAAGATTCGCGATCAAGTGCTTCTGGATACACGCAATCTCGACATTAGCCATCTTCCGTCTAAGCTCCGACCTCGCTTCTGCGGACCTTTTCTCGTCGAGGCGCAGGTCACTCAAGTAACCTTTCGCTTGCGTTTACCAGCTACCTGGAGAATTCACAATGCCTTCCATGTTCAACTTCTCAAGCCCTATCGGGACCCAAACACAATCTTCAAAGGTCGCCAGCCGCCGCCGCCACTGCCAGTGATCGTTAATGGGGAACCCGAGTACGAAGTCGAAGCCGTTCTGGCGCACCGACGACGACGTAGCGGCACCTTGGAGCTCTTGATTCGTTGGAAAGGCTATGATCCTTCCGAGGATACCTGGGTACCTGAACACGACATGGATAACGCCCGCCGTCCTCTACAGGACTACCTTGTCTAGCAGGGTGTTACTTCTACCACCCAGCTTTGAGGGGGGGAAGTGTGAGAGGACGTCCCCGTTATAATATTTTCTCACTATTATATTTTTTCGTTATCCCATTCTCCCTTTTCTCCTCTTAATTTTGGTCTTTATCTCATCTCAATCGGCCTACTATTCTATTTTCTAGAGCCTTCTATTTATTTCTCTTATTTCCTACTTTTCCCACCGACATACCTATTATACGGCACCGACAGCGCTGACAGTGGTGTATACGGTGAAATCTGGGCGTAATCCCAAGTGCCAATAGACTTGCGTGCTTATGCGCACTTGTGATTGTAGTATCGGGAAGGGTGTGTTCCCGAAGGTTCGTTTTATCTCGTTTATCCTTGTACTTTCTGAGTATAAATAGGCCTTGTATTCAGTTTTAGTGAAAAGTTTCGATTGAGAATTCGATCCAGTGACAGAGGCGGTGGCGGCAGGTGTGCAGGCAAACCCGGCGGTGGTCCTGCTCGACAGAGGTTGCTCCCACCACCTGATGGGGACTAAGGAAGTCTTTGTCGACCTGCAGCCGAGCGGCCCCATCAAGCACGTGCGCGGCTTCAATGGGGCGCTGCAGGACGTCCAGGGCCGCGGCACAATCGCTCTACAAGGGGAGGCCGGAAAGCAGGTGCTCATCCCCGACGTGCTGTACGTCCCGGGTGTGCGGGCAAACCTGCTGTCGTCCGGCCAGCTGAAGGAGCACGGCGTGAAGCTGCAGGAGGACGGAGACGGAATGATGCTCGTCTCTGCAGCAGGAATGGTGCTCGGTCGGGCGACGTACTCCGGGCGTGTCCTCTGCACCGACCTGCGTCCCTGCTCAACGAGGTCGACGTCGCCCACGACGGAGGTTGTGGCCCTGCGGGCGATCGTCTAGAAAACGAAGTCGACGCCGGACAGGATGCATGCTAGACTTGCGCACGTCGGCATGGACACCATCAGGAGCTCGGCGAAGAACGAGGTCGCCATTGGGCTGGACCTCAAGTCGGCGACAGGCGCCGACTCACCGTGTTTCTCGTGCGTCAGCGGGAAGCTGGCGCGGCACACCTTCCTCGACGAAGGCTCCGACGCCGACGACGTACTGGCCGTCGTGCACATCGACCTGTGCGGGCCGTTCCGCGTGGCTGCCGAGGACGGCAGCCTGTACTTCTTGCTGCTGAAGGACCGCAAGATCCGCTTCGTGAGGGTGAGGCCAGTCGCCAAGAAGTCGGATGTGCTGCTGGAGTTCCAGAAGTGGCTGGTGTTTGTGGAGAGGCAGACGAAGAAGTCGGTGCTGATGTTGCGCTCGGACCGAGGAGGGGAGTTTCTCGGTAAGAAGTTCACCGACTTCGTGGACGGACAGGGGATCGTCCACGACCTGACCTGCCCGTACACCCCGTAGCAGAACGGCATGGTGGAGAGGGAGATGAGGACGGTGGTGGAGTCAGTGCGGACGATGCTGCTACACATGGGCGTGCAGCACCACTGGTGGCACCTCGCTCTGCGTCATGCTGTATGGATCCGCAACTGCCTGGAGAGGTTGGCGCTGCCGCCGGGGACGACGCCGTACCAGCTGCTGGCTGGCCAGAAGCCCGACTTGTTGATGGCGCGGGTGTGGGGCTGCATGGCGCAGTTCCTCGTCCCCGAGCAGCAACGTGGTGGTAAGCTGAAGCCGAAGGCCAGGTGGGGCCTTCAGCTCGGCGTGTCGATGGCGAGCAAGGGCTGGGAGCTCCTCGACATCGACGCCAACCAGGTGGTCACCACGTCGGACATGGTGTTCTACGAGGATATGTCGCTGGAGGTGCGGAAGTCGGAGCACGGGCAGGTGTCAGGTCGGACGCCGACCACCCCACCGACCGATACCTCGCCGGCGACGCTGCCTCTGCCTCTGCTCACCGACCATGGCAGAGAGGTTGACTAGGAAGTTGACCGAGGTGCAGCAAGACAACGAGGGTAGTCAAGACGGTGACGAAGGAGGGGACGCCGGGGAGTCCACTGAGAGTGACATGGTGGAGGTCCGGCCTGAACCCCGGAAGTCGGATAGGCCTCAGAGGCCGCCGGACTTCTTCGTCCCCGCTGCCTTCACCACGGTGTACGACGTGGACGATGACGACAACCTGCTGTACGACGACGCCGAGGAGGATGAGGAGTTTTCGGAGCTCGACCCCGACATGCTGGCCGGCCCCGAGCAACGCTGACACATCTCGACAATGACAGTGAAGGAGGCGTTGGCGAGCTGGAAGGGCCTGGCGGTGAAGGCCGCCATGGAGGAGGAGATCCGCAGCCTCATCGACATGGGCACCTGGGAGCTGGTCGAACGCTCGCCGGGGGTGAACACCATGAAGAACCGGTGGGTGTTGACGACGAAGTACCACGTCGACAACACTGTCGAGCGCGAGAAGGCGAGGCTGGTCGTGAAGGGCTTCACGTAGGTGTACGGCGCCGACTACGACGAGACGTTCACGCCGGTGGGCAGCTACGTCACGCTGAGGATCTTCCTCAGCATCGTCGCCGTCCTCAACCTCAACCTGATGTAGCTCGACATGAAGAACGCCTTCCTGCAGAGCAAGCTTGACCGGGTGCTCTACATGTCCCGGCCGGACTACTTCAACGACGGAACCGGCCGGGTGTGAAAGCTGTTGAAGAGCCTATACGGACTGAAGAAGTCGTCGCTGCTGTGGTTCTTGGCGCTCAACGACGTACTGGTCGGCGCCGGGTGGAAGAAGAGTCAGGTTGACGAGGCTCTCTAATTCAAGGTCGGCAAAGACGACGTGGCCTGTTGGGTGCTGGTCTACGTCGACGACCTGCTCGCCGCCAGCAGTAGCACCGGGATGCTGAAGGAGCTGAAGGAGCTGCTAGAGTCCGCCTTTGAGCTGCGTGAGATCTCGCCGGTGCAGAAGTACCTCGGGCTGGAGATCGTCCGTAACAGGTCGGTGGGGAAGCTGTGGCTGCATCAGCAAGGCTACGCCGACAAGCTGCGCAGGCGCTTCATTGACGAGGAGCAGACCGGGCGCACCCCGAAGACGCTGGTCTTGGTCGACGACTATGCCAAGCTCACCTTCGACGACGAGGAGGCACAGGAGCGACAGCAGGAGGAGTACCGGCAGAAGGTCGGCTCGCTGCAGTTCGCGGCGACGATGTCGAGGCCGGACATCACCTTCGCCTGCAGCTGGGGAGCGGCCTCACGGTGAGGAGCGACCAGCACTGGCGCAAGGTCGACCGCTACCTCGCCAACCTCGCCAATACGCGTGACACCGCCCTGGAGACTCGTGACGCCCATACTCGCTTCGCTATTCGCAACTCTCTGCCGATAGATAAGCGCGAGCACTTTGGGCAGCACAAGACTGCACAGGCACTGTACACTGCTGTCGTTGCCCGCTATTCCTCGCCGGCCTCTGCCGCTCTAGGCCGTCTCTCTCTTCCCTACCTGTTCCCCGACCTAGCTTCCTTCCACACTGTCGCTGATCTCATTACCCACCTCCGCACTAGTGAGGCTCGCTTCCGCGCCGCTATGCCTGATGAGTTCCTTGCCAAGAACCCACCCCCGCTCTGGCTCACTCTCTACCACCAAGTCACGCGCCTCCCTGACACTCTGCGCTCAGTCAGGGACCACTTCCTAGCTCGCTGCCCCACCGAGCTCACCATTGCCCTCCTCGAGAAGGAACTGCTTGCACCTGAGGCTAGCATAGTCGCTGTAGGTGCCTCTCGCGGTGACCCCCGTACCCCGGTCTTTGAGGGGTGTTCTCCCCCCCCCCTTCTTCCCTCTGTCGCCTCTGCTGCTGCTGTCGACCTCCTTGGTGATGAGAAGGTCGGGACTGCGTCTGCTTCGAGTGGGCGCCGCAGCGGCAAGGGCAAGGTGTGCAAGGGCGGTGGTGGTGACAGCGGGGGTGGCGGTGGTGGGGGAGGTGGTGGTAGCGGGGGGGGTGGCGCGGGTGGGGGAGGTGGCAGTAGTGGGGGGGGTGGCAGCAGCGACGGGGGAGGTGGCCGGGGCGGAGGAGGTGGTGGGGGTGGCGGTGGACGAGGCAGCGGCCGGGGTTGGGGTGGTCGAGGAGGTGGTAGCGGCGGTGGTGGTCGTGGAGGCGCTGGCGGTGGCCAGGGCCAGCAGCACACTCCGTCGCCCCACGAGGTCCGTGAGTGGTACTCTCAGCACGGGGGGGGGGGTTGGCCTTAGCTGCACGTACGTCATTCGCACTGGTGACCGCACTGGCCAGCCGTGTGGGGGACCGCACGCCACACAGCGTTGCTTCGCTCGTCTGAACGACGCTTGGCGTGTTCAGTTCCCTCAGGCCACTGAGCTGCCCCGCTGGCTTGATCTCCTGAAGAAGGGGATTGATATTTATGCTCTAGACTTTGATGCTATTCTCACGGCCATGTATGTGATGTCTACTAGTGGAGAGGGTGCTGAGTACCTGAGTGTCCCGCCCGACCCGGGCATTAGGACTAGTGCGTCTGCCGCTCCAGGTACTCGCGTGTCCGCTACCCCAGGTGCTGGTGAGGCTGCTGCTCTAGGTGTGTGTACGTCTGCCCCCCCTAGTACTGTGTCGACTGCAGCACTGCACACCTTCGCACTGGATTCGGGTGCCTCTCGCTGTTTCTTTCGTGACCGCACTGCCCTTGAGCCCCTTGCTCGGCCAGTTGCTGTCTCCCTCGCTGACCCCTCTGGGGGTCCGGTCCTTGCGACCTCCTCCACTGTCCTTCCCTGTCCTGCGGTCCCGTCGGGCACACTGTCAGGTCTCCACCTCCCCTCGTTCTCAACGAACTTGGTGGCAGGTTGTGCACTACAGGACGCGGGTGTTCACCGGTTCACCCCTGCCTACGAGCGTGTCACACACTGCACGTGTGCCCGTACAGGCCGCCACTTGGCTACCTTCACCCGGCAGCCGGGGTCGGATCTGTACACATTGACTACTGCCCCCCCTCAGGTCGCTGCGTCTGCGTCTGCGTCCGCGTCAGGTCAGCTGTCCGCCCCCTGCTCGTGTCGCTCTCTAGCGCACGAGACTGTCCTCTGGCACCACCGACTGGGCCACCCGTCTGTGCAGCGCCTTCGTGCCATGCACTCCCGGTACCTTGTCTCTGGTCTTCCCAGGGTCCTCCCTCCCCTCCCACCCTCGCCTGCTCCTCCCTGTCTTCCCTGTGTTGAGGGGCGGCAGCGCGCCGCTCCTCACTCCTCCTCGTTTCCCCCGACGACTGCTCCTTTGCAGACGCTCCACATGGACGTGTGGGGCCCAGCCCGCGTCCGTGGTCAGGGTCAGGGGAGGTACTTCCTGATCGTTGTTGACGACTACTCGCGCTACACCACGATCTTCCCCTTGCGAGCCAAGGGTGAGGTCCCTGATGTTTTGATCCCTTGGATCCGCAGAGCTCGTCTCCAACTCAGCGAGCGTTTCCGCTCGGACTTTCATGTCCTGCGCTTGCACTCTGACAGAGGTGGTGAGTTCTCCTCCGACCTCTTGGCAGCCTACTGTGCTGAGCACGGCATTGAGCAGTCGTTCACGCTTCCGGCCTCTCCACAGCAGAATGGGGTTGCGGAGCGCCGCATTGGCCTGGTCATGGAGGTCGCTCATACCTCCTTGATCCATGCGGCTGCCCCCCACTTTCTGTGGCCGTTTGCGGTCCGGTACGCTGCGCATCAGCTCAACCTCTTGGCCCGTGTCTCCTTGCCGGAGACCTCGCCCACACTGCTGTGGACGGGGGAGGTTGGTGATGCGTCACGTTTCCGGGTCTGGGGATCTCGAGCTTTTGTCCGCGATTCGTCTACGGACAAGCTCTCCTCTCGTGGTGTTCCCTGCGTCTTCCTCGGCTTTGTTCCGGACGCGCCTGGTTGGCAGTTTTACCACGCCACCTCGCGCCGGGTCTTGCCCTCTCAGGACGTCACTTTTGACGAGTCTGTCCCCTACTACCGCCTCTTTCCCTACCGCACTGCCCCGCTCCCACCCCCGCCTCTCTTCCTCGCGCCAGGTGCTGCTGTCGTAGACCCCCTCCCCCCTCAGGGTGCCGCTCCCTCAGGTGTGTCTCAGGTAGACCCGGTCGAGCCTGTTGAGGTTGCTGTCGACTCTCGTCCTGCTGGGGGTGCTGAGCCTGGGGGTGCGGAGACTGGGGGTGCTGAGCCTGGGGGTGCTGACTCTGGGGGTGCTGAGCCTGGGGGTGCGGACACTAGGGGTACTGAGCCTAGGGGTGCTGAGCCTGGGGGTGTGGTGACTAGGGGTGCTGAGCCTTGCGGTGCTGGGCCTGAGGGTGCTAGACCTGGACGCGACCTCTCCTCGGAGCAGTTGCGTGAGTGGTACTTACAGTACTGCAGCCTCCGGAGTGTTACCTCTGGGACCAGGCGCACTACACGGACTGGGGCTGGTACTTCTCCTCCTAGTTGGGAGCTCCCCTCTCGTGAGCGGATCCGTGAGTGGTGCGAGCGCCGTTGCACACTTCGGAGTGGTGCGCCTCGTCTCACGGACCCGGCTGCCCCTGGTGCTACGGACCCGGGCGTTGGAGCTGCTGCTGGTGCTGCAGACCCTGGCGTTGGAGCTGCTGCTGGTGCTGCGGACCCGAGGGTTGGAGGTGCTGCTGGTGCTGAGGACCCGGGCGTTGGGGCTGCGGCTGGTACTGCGGACCCTGGCGTTGGAGCTGCGACTGGTGCAGTGGACCGTGGTGTCGGAGTCCCAGCTGGTGCTGAGGACCCGGGCGTTGGAGCTGCGTCAGGTGCTGTGGACCCTGGTGTTGGAGCCATTGCTGGTGCTGAGGACTCGGGCGTTGGTGCTGAGGCTAGTACTGAGGACCTGGGCGTTGGAGATGCTGCTGGTTCTGGTACTGCCGCTGGGGGTACAGGTGCTGTCCCTGCTGTGTCTAGAGTCGCCGCGCGCCCTCAGCCGTACTTCGTTCCGCTCCTACAGCAGGTTCTTGGTCTCTCGCCTCCTCCTAGTCCTCCTCCCTTAGCGTGTTCACAGCCTGTCCCGTCACAGTTACAGTTGCAGCCGGCCTCCCCACTACCTGCTCCTTCTCCTTACACTGGTTCTACTGGCGGTCTTACTAAGCCTCGTGAGTCTTTGCTCGTCCTGCGTCGCCTGTCCGTCTTGCTAGCGCTAGTGCTCGTAGTTCGCGCCAGTGTCCTCCTCCTGCCCCTGGCACGCACCGGATGTCTCTACGTCCGTCTACTGCTCCTCTGCGTGCCCCTTTGCCTTCTCCTCCTGAGTCCTCTCTTCCTGCTCTCGCCGACCCTGAGTCAGACTCTCTTCGTGCTGCCAGTCCTACTGTCACGCGTCTCCTTGCTACTGTTGTCACTGACCCTTCTTTCGTGTCTACTGCTGCGTCTGCTCTCGTTACTGAGCTCGTCGACTTTGCTGCCCGCTGTCGCTTAGACGACGCTGCTAGTCTTGTCGCTGAGTCCGAGTCTGTCTGTCCTCCTTCCCTCGGGGGTGAGTGTGCCCTTGGCACGGACGTCCTTGAGGACAGGCAGGAGGAGTTCCAGTGCTTGGCCGCTGCTTCACCTCATCTTGTGTCCGTACTGCTTACCCCTTAGGGAGACCCGGATGCACTTGACATCCCGACTCCGCGCTCTTACGCGGAGGCGATAGAGGGTCCCTACTCTTCTCAGTGGCAGGCAGCTATGGATGCAGAGATGGCTTCCTAGAAGTCCACAGGCACCTACATTGACGCTGTCCCCCCTCCTGGGGCGAACATCGTCAGTGGCATGTGGATCTTCAGGGTGAAGCGGCCGCCGGGTTCTCCGCCTGTCTTCAAGGCGCGTTACGTGGCTCGTGGCTTCAGTCAGCGGCAGGGAGTTGACTACTTTCAGACCTTCTCCCCCACCCCGAAGATGACCACTCTTCAGGTACTGCTGCACGTTGCTGCTCACCGGGACTACGAGCTGCACTCTCTCGACTTCAGCACAGCTTTCCTGCAGGGCAGCCTGCACGAGGAGATCTGGCTGCGCCGCCCACCTGGCTTCACTGGGTCTTTCCCTCCTGGTACCCAGTGGAGTCTCCGGCGTCCAGTCTACGGTCTTTGCCAGGCGCCACGTGAGTGTCACGACACACTGAGGACTACGCTTGCGGCTCTTGGGTTCGCTCCGTCTACTGCCGACCAATCGCTGTTTCCGCGCACCGACACCTCTCTGCCACCGTTCTACATCCTCGTGTACGTCGACGACTTGGTCTTTGCCACAGCTGACACTAATGGACTCGCCTACGTGAAGTCCGAGCTGCAGAAGAGACACACGTGCACTGACCTGGGTGAACTGCGCAGCTACCTTGGCTTGCAGATCACCCGGGACAGAGCACGCCGCACCATTACCCTGACTCAGTCACACATGGTGCAGCAGGTCCTTCAGCGCTTCGGCTTCACGTACTCCTCGCCTCAGGCCACTCTCTGTCTACTCGCCACTCGCTCTCAGCTCTGCCTTCGGATGAGTCCGTAGAGTCGAGTGGCCCGTACCCAGAGCTTGTTGGCTGTCTCATGTACCTGATGACCTGCACACGACCTGACCTTGCATACCCTCTTAGCATTCTTGCACGCTATGTTGCTCCTGGGAGACACCGACCAGAGCACATGGCTGCAGCGAAGAGGGTGTTGCGCTACTTGTGCAGTACGTCGGGCATGGGGCTAGTGCTTGGAGGGCGGAGTCCAGTGGTCCTCACTGGACACGCAGACGCTTCTTGGGCTGACGACCAGGCTACGCAGCGGTCGTCACAGGGTTACACCTTTAGCCTTGGTTCCGGCTCTGTTTCGTGGCGGGCTACTCGCTCGTCTTCTGTTCTTGGCTCCAGTTGTGAGGCTGAGATCTACGTAGGGGCCATGGCTGCTCAGGAGCTTCGCTGGCTCACCTACCTGCTGACCAACCTTGGTGAGCTGCCTCGTTCTCCTCCAGTGCTGTACGTCGACAACAAGGCCATGCTGGCCTTGTGTCGGGAGCAGAGACTGGAGCACAGAACAAAGCACATTGCTCTCCGCTACTTCCTTGCTCGTGAGCTACAGCAGCGTGGTCAGTTGCGACTTGCGTACGTGGCCTCTGAGGCCAACACTGCTGATGTCTTCACCAAGGCACTTCCGCCTTGTGATCATCAGCGCTGCTGTACCCAGCTGGGTCTTGTGTCTGTCTTGCCTCACTTGCTCTCCTCTTGACCCTCTTTGTACTGTTACATATATATATCACTGCTCTTGCTTGTTTAGTCTTATATATATATCTGTACTCCTGCATGTGAACTGGCCTTGTGGCCTTGCACTTGTGCTCGGATTGTGTGGTGACGTTGTGATCCACCCTGAGCTTGCTTTGTTTTGCTTTACTTGACTGGTCTTGTGACCCCTAGTTTTCCCCCACTTCGCCTATGGGGGTGTGTCAAACATTATATATGTTGCTGTTGTTGTTTAGGCTACAGTGGGTTAGCCTATAGGGGGTACATATTTCTAGGTTTTCATACTTGTACTCATTTCACTCTTAGTTCATTCCATTCTTGTTCAACAAAACTCTTGCAAAATCTCCCCGTGAATGTGCAAGTACAGAACACACTAGGAAAACGACTAAGGACCAACGAACGCAGAGATCACACGAGCACTCGTGCCTAGCCCGTAGTCTAGCTCCCGTTGGAGTAGTTATCTCCTCAAAGAAAAAGCAGTTTGAGCTGGAGTGCCTAGCGGCCGCTTCACCTCATCTTTCGTACATGCTATTTTGCACTTAGGGAGACCTGGATGCACTAGACATCCCGACCCCGCGTTCTTACGCAGACGCGATCACAGTTCCGTACTCCTCTTAGTGGCAGACAGCCATGGACGCAGAGATGCTTCCTGGAAGTCCACAGGCACATACGTCGACGTAGTTTCCCCACTTGGGGCAAACATAGTCGATGGCATCTATATTTTCAGGGTGAAGTGGCCACCAGGTTCTCCGCCTGCCTTCAAGACGCGTTACGTTGCACGAGGCTTCAGTCAGGGTAACGGGGTCAACTTCTTCTAGACTGTCTCCCCCACCCCGAAGATGACCACTCTTCGGTTGTTACTGCACGTTGCAACACAGCGTGACTACGAGCTGCACTCCCTCGACTTCTCGACAACTTTCCTGCACTACAGCCTTCACGAGGTCTTCTGGTTGCGCCGCCCTCGTGGCTTCATTGGGTCGTTTCCTGAGGGTACCCAATGGAGTCGCAGGCGACCAGTTTATAGTATGCGTCAGGCGCCCCGTGAGTGGCACGACACACTGAGGACTACACTTGCGGCTCTTGGTTTCGCTCCCTTGACCCTTCACTGTTTCTGCGTACAGACACTTCTCTGCCACCGCTCTACATTCTTATTTAAGTCAACGACTTGGTTTTTCCTACTGCTGACACTGAGGCGCTGGCCCTAGTGAAGGCGGAGCTGCAGGAGAGACACACCTGCACTGACCTGGGTGAGCTGCTGAGCTATCTTGGCTTGCAGATCACCAGGGACAAAGCACAGTGCACCATCACCCTGACTCATTCACACATGGTGTGGCAGGTCCTTCAGCGCTTCGGCTTCCAGTTCTCCTCGCCACAGCCCACTCCTCTGCCTACAGGCTACTCGCTCTCAGCTCCACATTCGAACGAGTTCATAGAGCCGAGTGGTCCATGTCCAGAGCTTGTGGGTTGCCTCATGTATCTGATGACGTGCATACGACCTGACCTCGCGTACCCTCTCAGCATTCTGGCTCGCTACGTTGCTCCCTGTTGACACTGAAAGGTGCACTAGGAAGCTGCGAAGAGGGTACTGCGTTACTTGTGCAGTACATCGGGCATGGGGCTTGTGCTTGGAGGACAGGGTTCAGTTGTTCTCATTGATCACTCAGACGCTTCTTGGGCTGACGACCAGACGACTCACCGGTCGAAGGGTTACAGTTTCAGCCTTGGCACTGACTCTGTCTCGTGGAGATCCAGTCGCTCGTCTTCTGTACTTATTCCAGCTGCGAGGCTGAGATCTACGCTGGGGCTATGGCTGCACGGGAGCTCCATTAGCTGACCTACCTGCTGACCGACTTGGGTGAGTGGCCTCGTTCTCCTCTAGTTTTGTACGTCAAAAACAAGGCCATGATTGCCTTGTGTTAGGAGCAAAGACATGAGCACAGAATGAAGCACATTTCTCACCGTTGCTTCCTCACTCGAGAGCTGCAGCAGCGTGGTCAGCTTCGTCTTGGTTACGTGGCCACACAGGCCAACACTACTGATGTCTTCACGAAGGCCCCTGGGTCTAGTGATCATGAGCGTTTCTGCATTGCTCTTGGGCTTGTGCCCACTCTGCCTCACCTGCTTGTTGCTTGATCTTGCCTTGCACTTTGTTGTACTCTGATATATATGATTATACCTACACGTTTGCCCTTGCTAGGTTGTGATCAGTGTACAGCAAATACTACTGCATGCGAACTGGCCTTGTGGCCACTTGCTTGTGCTCAGAATGTGTGGTGATCTTGAGATCCACCTTGAGCTTTGCTTAGCTTTTTTCTCTTGCTTGACTGATCTTGTGACCGTCCGTTGTGTTTGCTATCCCCCACTTTGCCTATGTGGGTGTGTTAAATTATGTTTGTATGTCTCTAGGCTGTAGTGGGGCATACTCTAGTGAGTACAACCCCTTAGGGCGGGTCCAGCACGTACGTTTTCCGTACATTACAGTTCATTCAGTGCGGTAATCTGTATTGCGTCACGGTTCAAGACGGTGCAATTTCAAAACCGCTGTGCACCGCCTGATATATTTTCAAACCAAGACAGATGAACTGCATAGTACCTGTAAACGTACGCGCTGGACCCGCCCTTAGGTTTCATACTTCTACTTATCTTACACTCAATGCAACCCTAAACCCGAAATCCTTCTTGACAGCTTCTCCACCATTTTCCGTACCGCATAGTAACTTCCGCCGAGAGTGCTAGCCATAACTCATCAGCTCGTTTCCTGCTTAGTAACGACGATTGCTCTTCAGGGGCAGCCACCATGCCGTAGCTCCCTCGCTATGATGGATGACTCCCCGATCCAACGGCTCTCAGACCATCTGCTCGCGAGAATCCTCCATCTCGCCTCTGCACCCGGCGGGTTCCAGCACGCGCTAGTGTGCAAGAAGTGGCGCGATGCGGCGTATTGCGTGCAGGATGCCGTTCAGTTGCGTGCCAACCATCGCATGGACGTGCGCTGACTGCTCTCCGAGCTCTCGGCATTCCTGAGGCTCACAAAACTCATCTTGTCGGATCGGAGCCTGATATCAATTCCCGAGGGTTTCCTCTCGACGCGGGCGCCGCGCATCAAGGGCTCATCACGTTTCACTTCCGAACCATGTTCGATACCGTTGTGCGCATCAAATGCTTCACGAAGGAAGGTCTTTCGCGCTTCTTCTAGAGACGCGCCTCGAGGACCTCTATCTCGAATCCCCGCCGTGTCTGCCCGCCATTCCCGCCGCCATCGGCGCCCTCACTTGTCTCGCTCACCTGCACCTCGCGGCGCACGCACACCGCCTCCCGGATGCCTTCATGTGCGTGCGCGTCCTGCGCACGTGCGTACTGCACATGCCCGCCCTGGAACAGCTGCCTCTGGGCTTCGGCAGCCTCACGTCCCTCCAGTCCTTGCACCTCGATGCGTGTCAATCTCTCTTCTCACTTCCGGAATCCGTTGGGGAGCTCACTGACCTAGACCGCCTGTCCATCAGCGGCTGCAGCAGCTTCCGCCTGCCGGAGTCCTTCCCTGCATTGGCATTGCTCAGAGAGTTGAAGGTGAGGCGTTGCGAGGCGCTCTCCCCAATACCGGATGACGTCGGGCGGATGCAGGCGCTTGAGAGCGTGGTGTTGGAGGAGGTGGGTGGCATCGCAGGCCTTCCTGAGTCCTTCAGGTACCTGCAGCGCCTGCACTCCCTTTCCATCGACCACTGCCACCACCTCTCGTCTCTGCCCACCTCCCTGCCCGGCCTATCATCACTCGCACATCTTCACCTCAACGCGTCGAAACTCTCGGCACTGCCAGATGTCTTCGGGTGGGCCTCGAACCTCCGATCTTTTAGCTTATTCGCCGGCATCTTCACACTCCTGCCTGCCTGCTCTCGTCCCTCACACGCCTCACACTCACTGAATGCCCTGCACTGGTAGCGCTACCATGAGCCATGGGCCTTGGCCTGCACAGTCTACAACAGCTCACTCTCGACTGCAAGAACATCACCCACCTGCCTCCGTCATTCTTCAGCCTAACCTCGCTTGAACAGCTGAGCATGTTTCACCTGGCGTGTGTGAGAGGGCCCCTGCCAGACGGCTTCAGCCGCCTCACACGGCTGAGGGACCTCTCTCTCGTTGCCTTGCCGCACCTCACGGCCCTCCCGGCGTCGCTAGCTGCCCTCGCCCCCACGCTCACCAGCCTACGCGTGGACGGCTGCAGCGAGCTGAGGGGCATGGCGGAGGAGCTCAGCCGGCTGACAGTGCTTGAGTCGCTCACCATCACGCATTTAGATAGCTTGAGATCACTCCCGCGCTCGCTGCTTGAGCTGCCCGGGCTGCGGGAAGTAGTGGTGGATGAGTGCAGTGAATCAGGCAAGACCACTAGCGGTGTATCTTGGTTGGTGGCATTTGCAGTAGCCGCAGCAGCGGTAGTGACAGCAGCGATACAGAGCGGAGTGCAGTGTCTACACTGCGTTTATCATCAAACTCCTGACTAGAAGATGTTAAACTGTGTCGTGTGGTATCTTGAGCTGACACTCAGATGGCTCCCATTGTTTCCTTGGTGCAGGTTCTTCTCTCACCCTTTTTCATCTCCTATCCGTTACTGCCCTGCTCTGCCTCCCTACATTCCCTCTGATCCTCTCCTCGCCCTCTTCGCCTCTCCCTTTGTCTCCCCTCGTCCCTGTCCCTGTGCTCCCCTTCCCTTTCCATCCCTCCCCCTGTCTTTCTGCTGGATATGGTGGTGAGATGAGGATGGGGAGGGGAAGGCACTGAGGGGAGTATGCCTGAACAGGTGTTTGAACCAAGCTGGCTTGTGGCGTGCTGCCAGTGGTTTTTTTCCCATTCCTCCACTTGCTCATCACGAGCCGTGCCAAATCCCAGCAGCAGGCTCAATTGAGTCGAGACCCCTCTGTAGGTCGAACCGGGTGGGGCGTGAAACAAGCCGGACAATTTTCAGACTGTAGGGCTTGCGTGAGCATGGCTTGGCATTGTGTTCAGGGACGTCGCTAGGATCTAAGGGTGCCTGATGGAGCAGACGGGCCCTTCGGGCCCGTCTGCTACATCAGTAGGATGAAGGCTACCCTGTCTGTTTGATCAGGAATTTTCAGAATCTTTGTCTGTTGTGTCAGACCACGGTGCACTTGCTTTTCTGTTTCTTTTTTTTTTTTTGGAGCATACTACTACTGGCATTCGCTGAAATCACTCACGTGTACAAGTTCTGTATAAGAACTATCACATCACAAGAGTATATTATTAAACTTCAACTAGGTGTTACATTACATCTACTCTACCCTACTCTACTCAGTATCAGAGTCTAGCGCCACTGTGGCACAGACATCAAGCCCATTGTCGTCATCATCACTGTCGTCCGACATGTTGGGAACAAATAAGTTAAGCGCCTCTGTCGTGTCGAAACTCAGGACACAAAGCGAAGAAGTTCAAATCGAAGCATCGCGAGTCAACCCTCGGAGGTTAGGGTAACCGCCTGGAGGTTACGCGAAGGTCAAAGGTCAGCGACCTTTGACTTGACCAATGCAGCGCGACAGCAAGGACACACAACTGACTCGACATTGAGCAGTTGCCCGAGTCGCACTGTATCGAATCGCAACAGCAAGGTAGTTTAATTACATCTATTCGTATTCCTTGTACTCTTATATAAAGCTTTGTATTTGTCTGTTTTAATTAACTTACTTTGCCCTCACATACCAGCGCAAGGTGGTTCAAGGCTTTCTTATTCAACGCTTCCGCTATTACATCATCCTACTCAAACTTTAACTCTACAAAGATCCTAGGGCACCTCAGCCCAACACAACACGGCTACAGCTGCGCGTGCCTTGCCCTTCTTTGAGGTCCTCCGCCTTACCACATCATCATCTTCATCTTCGTTGGAGGTAGCAGCTGACGTTCCTCTCTCGGCCTTCCGCTTAGGGGCTCTCTCTGGAGTGCACTTGGTCGTCACTTCCTTAGCAGGGTGCCTCTTCTTTGCCCCCCTCCAAGCAGCCACCACCTCGTCCCAGTTCGGCTCATACTCCAGGAGCGACACGGACATCAAATCCGCCAGGCGTGTGTTGCACAGATTACCGCGGAGCCAGGATTTGATGATGTTTTGCCTCGAGAAGCCGCGCTCGCACTCGACGGTGCTCAACAGCAGCACGGCGAGAGCGATCCAGATGCGGACCATGTTGGGGTAGCTCGTCTCCTAGTCTTCACTGCGTAACATGTGCTTGAGGCCGGCGTGGAATGTCTGGTCGTTGTACTGCGATGCCATCATCTTGGTGAACGGCACCAGTTCCCGTCTCGCCTTTTTCCAGCTCACTCCTGCTCACGCACAGTAGCAAGTACAAGAGGGGGGGGGCGACGGGGAGGTAAGTCTTTGGGAACATAACACCGAGTGTGTAACATTGATGCACTTGTCAGGCTTATATGACTTAGCCTCTGTAGGCTATAGTGGGGTAGCACATATGGGGTACAACACATTTCTAGGGTTTGTACTTGTACCCAACTTTCCCTTAGTCATTTTCATTCCTCATTTCTTATCATGGTATCGAGCAGGTTCCCTGGTGGGAACGCTTCCTAGGGCCCACCACGATATTTGTTTTTCCAGCCCGGAGCGCGCTTCGCTCCTGCCCGAGTCGCGCCCCGTGTGCCCTCCCTACCGTCGCGCCCTCACGGCCCCTTCGCGTCGCCCTTAGCGGCGCCTCTCACGGCCCCTCGAGCCGCCCTTACGGCCCCTCGCGCCGCTCTTACGGCCCCTAACGGCCCATCGCGCCGCCCTTACGGCCCCTTACGGCCCCTCGCGCCGCCCGTCGGCCCCTAGCGCCGCCCTTACGGCCCCTTACGGCCCCTCGCACCGCCCGTCGGCCCCTAGCGCCGCCCTTACGGCCCCTTACGGCCCCTCGCGCCGCCCGTCAGCCCCTTGCGCCGCCCTTAACGGCCCCTCGAGCGGCCCCTTCCGGCCCCTCGCGGCGCCCTTACGGCCCCTTACGGCCCCTTGCGCCGCCCTTCGTGGCCCCTCGCAGCCTCTTTATGGCCCGTCGCCGCCGTCCGCGGCACCTCGCGCCGCCCTTCACGGCCCTTTCGCCGCCCTTCGCGGCCTCTCGCGGCCCTGTCGACGCCCTTCGCGGCCCGCCGTCGCCGCCCCTGCAGTAGCAGCCGCCGCAGTCCCTACAACAGCAGCAGCCGACGTCCCTGCAGCAGCAGCCGCCGCCGTCCCTGCAGCAACAGCTGCCGCCGTCCTTGCAGCTGGTGCAGCCGAGACCAGCAGCAGCTGCCGCTACCTCCCTTGGGGCCGCAGCCACCGCCGCGGCTGACTGCAGCCGCCGGTGCGCCTCGGCCCTACCAGCGTGCCTCGACCCTTCCTGCGCGCCTCGGCCCGTCCCTGCCGGTGCGCCTCGGCCCAGCCCCACCACTTGCGGCTCTCTGCTCTGGTAAGAGTGTCGCTGCACTGCGCTGTCACTGCTGCCACTACTGCTCCTACTGCCACTACTGCCACTGCTGCCACTGCTGCCATGGCTACCCCCCGTGTCCTTACTTTTGATGCTGAGGGCCGTGCTGTTGACTTTGAGGTCTGGGTCGATGACCTCCAGCTGTTCCTACAGTGCGATAGGGCAGACGGACTCTCTCTGTTCGATCTCACCTCTGGTGTCTCTCCTGCCCCGCCTGCTACTACTGACCGCACTGTTCGCTCACAGTGGGCCACACGCGATGCTGCTGCTCGCCTTGGTGTGCGTTGCCACTTACCGACCACCGAGCGTGCGCACTTTAGCCAATACAAGAGTGCTAAGACCTTGTACGACGCTGTAGTTGCACTCTACTCCTCCCCTGCCACTGCTGCGCTTAGCCGCCTCATCCTGCCGTACCTCTTCCCTGACCTTGCTGCCTTTCCCATAGTCGCTGACCTCATTACACACCTTCGCACTAGTGACATTCGCTACCGCGCTGCGCTTCCTGCTGACTTCTGTGCCAAGAACCCCCCCCCCATGCACATCACCCTCTACTACATAGTCAGCCGCCTCCCTGACTCTCTTCTCTTAGTCAGGGACCACTTTCTCTCAGTTTGCCCCACCACACTCACCATTGACCTCCTCGAGGAGCGTCTCCTAGCAGCAGAGAAGAGCATAGTCGCTATAGGAGCCTCTCGTGGTGACCCTTGCACACCCGTCTTTGAGGGGTGTTCCCTCTCCCCCCTCTTGCCCTCTGTTGCTTCTGGTGCTGCGGCCGACCTCGTTGGTTTCGAGTCGGTCGGCGTTGCGTCTGCCCCTAGCGGGAGATGCCGCACCGGCAAGGGCAAGGGGGGCAAGGGCGCTGGTGGGGCTGGCGGGGGCGGTGGAGGTGGTGGTGGAGGCAGTGGAGGGGGTGGGGGTGGTGGTGGGAGTGGTGGCGGGGGTGGAGGTGTTGGTGCCAGTGGTGGAGGCGGTGGAGGCGGCGGCGGTGGAGGAGGGAGCGGAGGCGGCGGAGGTGGTGGAGGCGGCGGAGGTGGCGGGGATGGCGGAGGCGGCGGCGGCGGCGGTGGAGCTGGTCGTGGCTCTGCGCAGAGGAGTGGCTCCGGTAGTGGTGCGCGCCAGCAGCAGCAGCGCAGTCGTGAGACCCTGTCCCCTCAGCAGCTTCGTGAGTGGTACGCTGCGCATCAGTGTGGTCGGGGTACTGGTCCCTGCACCTACGTCCTCCGTACCGGCGACCGCGCTGGTGAGCAGTGCGGGGGCCCGCACTCCACCCAGCGCTGCTTCGGCCACCTGACGGACGTGTGACGTCACCAGTTCCCTGAGGCCTCTGAGATCCCTCGCTGGGGAGAGCTGTCTAGGGCGGGGGTTGCTATCTTTGATCTTGATTATGATGCTATTCTTGCTGCCATGTATGCTGTGTCTGATAGTGTTGAGGGTGACTGTTACCTGTGTGTTCCGCCTGACCCGGGCATTGAGACTGCTGCTCTAGGTGCTGGTGAGGTTGCTGCTCTAGGTGCTAGTGCGTTTGCTGCCCCAGGTTCTGGTGAGTCTGCTCTCTCAGGTACTACGTCGGCTCAGGCCTTACACACCTTCACCCTTGACTCGGGTGCTTCCCGCTCCTTCTTTCGAGACCGCACCACGCTTACGACACTTAGTCGGCCGGTTGCAGCCTGGCGGACCCCTCTGGGGGTCCTGTCCTTGCTAGCTTCTCCACTGTCTTATCGTGCCCGGCAACCCCCTCTGGCACCCTGTCCGCTCTCTACCTCCCCTCGTTCTCTACGAACTTGGTGAGTGGAGCTGACCTAAAGGATAGGGGGGTTCACCAGTTCACTCCTGCGAGTCAGTGGATGACCCACTGCACGTGTGCTCTGACACGCCGACACTTGGCCACGTTTACCCGTCGGCCGGGGTCGAGCCTTTACACACTTACTACTAAGTCTCCTCGGCTACTGAGTCTGGTCAGGTAGCTGCGTCGAGTCAGGTGTTTGTTGCAGCGTCCAGGTCTAGTCCTGAGTCTGCTCCCTGCTCGTGTCGTCTCCTCTCTCACCAGACTCTCCTTTGGCACCACCGCCTTGGTCACCCCTCCCTTCCTTGTCTCCGAGGCATGGCCTCCCGTGTCCTTGTCTCTGGTCTTCCCCGGTCTCTTCCTTCCCTTCCTCCGGGGCCTGCCCCTACCTGCGTCCCCTGCGTCGAGGGGCGCCAACGCGCCGCCCCTCACTCCTCCGAGTTTCCTCCGACAAAGGCTCCGTTGCAGACTCTTCACATTGACGCGTGGGGCCCCGCCCGCGTCCATGGCCAGGGGCACGAGCGTTTCTTCCTGTTGGCGGTTGACGAATTCTCGTGTTATACCACAGTCTTCGCCTTGCGCAGCAAGGGCAACGTCAGTGAGGTGTTGATCGACTGGATCCGCGCAGCTCATCTCCAGCTCAGAGAGAGTTTCGGCTCGGACTTTCCTGTTCTGCGTCTGCACTCTGACACAGGCGAGGAGTTTTCCTCTGCCTGTCTGGGGGCCTTCTGTCGAGCACAAGGAATCCGCGAGACCTTCACGCTTCCGGCCTCTCCACAGCAAAATGGGATTGCTGAGCGCCGCATTGGCATGGTCATGGACGTCGCTCGTACGTCCATGATCCATGCAGCTGCCCCCCATTTTCTATGGCCGTTTGCGGTTCAGTACGCAGCGCATTAGCTCAACCTTCAGCCCCGTGTCTCCTTGCCAGAGACCTCCCCCACCCTTCGGTGGACGGGGAAGGTTGGCGATGCGTCTGCGTTTCGGGTCTGGGGATCTCAGGCGTTTGTCCGCGACTTGTCTGCGGACAAGCTGTCCCCCCGTGCTGTGACCTGCGTCTTCCTTGGCTTCCCCCCTGACGCGCTTGGTTGGCAGTTTTACCACCCCACCTCGCGCCGTGTTCTATCGGTGCCTTACTACCGTCTCTTCCTCTACCGTGCTGCGCCCCTTCCCCCGCCGCCGCTCTTCCTTGCGCCAGGTCCTCCCCCGGTAGACCCCCTCCCCCCTCAGGGTCCTGCCTCGTCAGGTGTGTCCCAGGTAGACGCAATCGAGCCTGTCGAGGTAGCTGTTGACTCTGGTGCTGCCACAGGTGCTGAGCCTGCGGGTGCCGGGTCTGGAGGTACTGAGCCTGGGGGTGCGGAGCCTGGGGGTGCTGAGTCCGGGGGTGCTGAGCCTGGGGGTGCTGAGTCTGGGGGTGCGGAGCCTGGGGGTGCTGGGTCTGCTCATGTGGCCTCTTGTGGTGCTTCGTCGAGGCGGGAGCCACTCTCTCCGCAGGAGCTACGCGAGTGGTTTGCCCGCCGCTGGAGCCGTGCTGCTGGAGCTGGAGGTACTACTGTTGCTGCTGGTCCCGGAGGTGCTCGTACTGGGGGTACTAGAGCTGCTGGGGGTGGGGGTGCTGCTAGGGCTGCTGGAGTTGGTCCAGCTAAAGGTACTGCTGGAGCTGCTGGCGGTACTGGAGCTGCCGGTCCTGCTGGAGTTGGTGCTGCTGGAGCTGATGGAGCTGGAGCTGCTGGGGGTGTTGGCACTGGTGGTTTTACTGGCGTTGGTGTGTCTGAGGGTGCTGGAGTTGGCGCTGTTGGAGCTGGAGGTGCTGCTGGCGCTGGTGCTGCCGCTGAGGGTACTAGTGCTGTCCCTACTGGTTCTGGAGGCGCTGCGCGGCCGAGGCCGTACTTCGTTCCGCTCCTTGAGCAGGTTCTTGGTCTCTCGCCCTCTACTGGTCCTGCTCATCGTTTAGAGTGTCCACAGCATGTTTAGTCGCAGTCACAGTTACAGCCCGCCTCCCCCCTACCTGCTCCTTCTCCCTACACTGGTCCTACTAGAGGTCTTGCTGAGCGTCGTGAGCCTGCGTCTCGTCCTGCGTCGCCTGTTCGTGCTGCTCGCACTAGTGGTCGTGCTTCGTGTCCAGGTCCTCCTGCGGTCCCAGGCACACACCAGATGGCACTGCGTCCTTCCACTGCTCCTCTGCGTGTCCCGTTGCTATCTCCTCCAGAGTCCTCTCTTCCTGTACTTGCTTACCCGGAGTCTGACTCTCTTCGTGCTGCCAGTCCTACTGTCACGCGTCTCCTGGCTACTGTTGTCACTGACCCTTCCTTTGAGTCCAGTGCTGCGTCTGCCCTAGTTGCTGAGCTTGTCGACTTTGCTACTCACTGTCGTCTAGACTACGCTGCTAGTCTTGTTGCTGAGTCTGAGTCTGTCTGACCTCCGTCCGTCGGGAGTGGGTGTGCTCTTAGCACGGACGTCCTTGAGGACAGGCAGGAGGAGTTCCAGTGTTTTGGTGCTGCTTTGCCTCATCTCGTGTCCACGGTGATTGCCCCTGAGGGAGACCCGGATGCACCAGACATCCCGACTCCTCGATCGTACGCTGATGCGATCCAGGGTCCCTACTCCTCTCAGTGGTAGTCAGCCATGGACGCAGAGATGGCTTCCTGGAAGTTCACAGACACCTACCTCGACGAGGTTCCCCCACCTGGGGCAAACATCGTCAGTAGCATGTGGATTTTCAGGGTGAAGCGGCCGCCGGGTTCTCCGCCTGTCTTCAAGGCGCGTTACGTGGCTCAAGGCTTCAGTAAGCGACAGGGAGTTGACTACTTTCAGACCTTCTCTCCAAGCCCGAAGATGACCACTCTTCGGGTGCTGCTGCACATAGCCGCTCAGCGTGACTACGAGCTTCACTCTCTTGACTTCAACACAGCTTTCCTGCAGGGCAGCTTGCACGAGGAGATCTGGCTGCGCCGCCCACCTGGCTTCACTGGGTCGTTTCCTCCTGGTACCCAGTGGAGCCTCCGGCGGCCAGTCTACGGTCTCCGCCAGGCGCCCCGTGAGTGGCACGACACACTAAGGACTACACTTGCGGCTCTTGGGTTTGCTCCTTCTACTGCCGACCCGTCGCTGTTTCTGCGCACCGACACTTCTTTGCCGCCGTTCTACATCCTCGTGTACGTCGATGACTTAGTCTTTGCCACTGCTGACACTGCTGGACTCGCCCACGTGAGGTCCGAGCTGCAGAAGAGACACACGTGCACAGACCTGGGTGAACTGCGCAGCTACCTTGGCTTGCAGATCACCCGGGACAGAGCACAGCGCACCATTACCCTGACTCAGTCACACATGGTGCAGCAGGTCCTTCAGCGCTTCGACTTTACGTACTCCTCGCCTCATGCCACTCTTCTGTCTACTTGCCACTCGCTCTCAGCTCTGCCTTCAGATGAGTCCGTAGAGCCGAGTGGCCCGTAGCCAGAGCTTGTTGGCTGCCTCATGTACCTGATGACCTGCACACGACCTGACCTTGCATACCCTCTTAGCATCTTGGCACGCTATGTTGCTCCTCAGAGACACCGACCAGAGCACATGGCTGCAGCGAAGAGGATGTTGCGCTACTTGTGCAGTACGTCGGGCATGGGGCTAGTGCTTGGAGGGCGACGTCGAGTGGTCCTCACAGGTCACGCAGACGCTTCTTGGGCTGACGACCAGGCTACGCAGTGGTTGTCACAGGGTTACACCTTCAGCCTTGGCTCCGGCTCTGTTTCGTGGCGGTCTACCCGCTCGTCTTCTGTTCTCACCTCCAGCTGTGAGGCTGAGATCTACGCGGGGGCCATGGCTGCACAGGAGCTACGCTGGCTCACCTACCTGCTGACTGGCCTAGGAGAGCCGCCTCGTTCTCCTCCAGTGCTGTACGTAGACAACAAGGCCATGCTGGCCTTGTATCGGGAGCACAGACTGGAGCACAGAACGAAGCACATTGCTCTTCGCTACTTCCTTGCTCGTGAGCTGCAGCAGCGTGGTCAGCTACGCCTTGCTTACGTGGCCTCTGAGGCCAACACTGCTGATATCTTTACCAAGGCACTTCTGCCTTGTGATCATCAGCGCTTCTGTACGATGCTAGGTTTTGTGCCCACTTGGCCTCACTTGCTCACTTCTTGACCTTGCTTGTACTGTGATCTTTCTATACCTGCACTTGCTTGTTTACCCTTATATATGATGTTGCATGTGAACTGGCCTTGTGGCCTTGCTCTTGTGCTCGGACTATGTGGTGACGTTGTGATCCACCCTGAACTTGCTTTGCTTTGCTTGACTGGTCTTGTGACCCCTTGTTCTCCCCCACTTTGCCTATGGGGGTGTGTCAGGCTTATATGAGTTAGCCTATGTAGGCTATAGTGGGGTAGCACATATGGGGTACAACATATTTCTAGGGTTTGTACTTGTACCCAACTTTCCCTCAGTCATTTTCATTTCTCGTTTCTTATCAGCACTCTATGGACACAAACGTACCTGGAAGTACGCACTTCTCCGCAGTGAACAGCTCGCGGAGAGACTGGAACCAGGCTGCGCAGAGGCGGTCTCTCTCCGCGTTACCCTCGGGGTACGCGTCAGGCAGAAAAAGCTTCGCTCCACTGAGGGTGTCTAGGCTCTCCATCCGCTTCAGGAGGTGCTTCACAACTTCTTGCGCAAAACGGGAGGTTACAGTGATGCAAGATTCAATGTCTCCCTTGGACTTCTGACCCTTGATGGCGTCCTCGTGCAGCTTGAAAGTGTGGGTGACGGGACTTCCCTCCCCATCCATGCCTTCGACAGTCACCTCCCGCTTGTTCAATGGTCCATGCTTCTCCAAAAACTCTATCAGCAACTCACTATCCTCAGCGTAGTTGACGTCGTGCTCGATGTATCGTTGCTTAATCTTGTCGCACGTGTTGTGGACCATTGATGCCACCCGGGTGATGTTCACCTGCACACGGCAAGAAGTAGTAGTCATAGCCGCTCGTATGCATACATAACAGCACGGACCTCACGAGTGCTCACCATGCGCCGTTGAAACTTGAGGTTTAGCTCGTTGAGCAGCTTCAGCACATCTGCCAGGAAGAACAGGAAAAAGTGGAACTTGAAGCTTGTTACTGTCGCGTATACCTTCTTGTCGTGCTCCCACAACACCACTATTGCCGCCGATAGGACTGTCACGACCCTCCGAATCGCGTCGCCACGCGCCAGCCATCGAACGTCTTTAAACCCCTGCACCTCCAGAGACGTCTCGTGCAGAATGTGTTGGAGTTCCATGAACCGGGAGTGCAAGACGATGCTCCTCCCCAAGTTCTCTGCGATGCTCCGCACGACCGTGTCGATCATGTTGAGGTCGAGCACCGCCTCCGCCGCGTCTTTCGCGACGAGAGCCTCCCTGCATGTGTGCGGATAGTGTTGGTTAGAAAACTGCAACAAGTGTGACAGCAAAATCATAAACAATCAACACACAAATGTTGACAACGGACCTGTGAGCAATGCAGTGGCACGTCACCAGGTGTGGGACTCGTAGTTTCAGCTGTGTCGCCACTCCAGCCTGTGAACCCCGCATCACGCTCGTGCCATCCGTACTTATGCCCGACAATTTCATGATGTCGACGCGTGTGACGGCCAAATGGGCGAGAAGTACCGTCAACAGAGACAACGCATCGCACTTCTCGACTCTCAGGTGACCAAACAGCTCGGTGACGACCTCGGCGTCGCGGATGAAGCTCAGATAGACGATCATGTGCTTGCCTCTGCGCCGGTCGGTACTCTCGTCGAGTTGAATGCCTAGGAACGGAGACGCCTGGATGTGGTGCATCTGCTGCTGCTTAAGGTTGGTGACGATCGCTTCGGTTATTTCACGGAAGCCGTACTTGCGCGTCACAGTCAAGGTGGTATTAGTCGTAGTGAATCCAGAAACACAAATCGAGAACGTTTCATCACTCACGCTGACTGGTATGTCCCTATGGCCTTGTCCGGGATGTGCGGCGTCTAAAGCTCGGCCAACAGGCGAACAAGATCGACAAAAAGGGAGATGGGGGAATCGGATTTGCAGATAAATAGCACGACCAGCATCAGATGTTTCAGCCGCGACGTCTCGTTGTCGTCGTTCTCGAACTCCTCAATGCCTCGTTGGTCAACCTTACCGCCTTCGGCGCGAAGCTTGGCATTGACGGCGTCCTAATGCTTCCTGCTGAGTGCGTGCTTCCGCATCGTTTGCCGCTGAATATCAACGCCACCTTCGCCAAGCTTACCGAACTTCCAGAGGGCAGAACCGTGAGCCATGCATATGCTGCACTTCATGCACGGCGTCCCGCCCTTCCTCTGCGTGATAATCAGCCACTTGAATTTGTCGAGCCAATATTCCTTCGACAGTTTGTGGAGCTTCTCCATTAGCGCGTCTGGATCAGGGATATGGATGGTGCTCTTGGAAGGCCCAGGATGTCGGCCCGGCTGCTGGAGGAGTTGATGAAGTACCTTCTCTAGGCGCTGTGGTGGGGCGTGCCACGATGCGGACGTGTGGAACCCCTGTCTTAGCAACCCGCAGTGTGCTCTGGGTAAATCGGCCCGCCTTGGGGAAACGGGGCACGACAGTACCCCGTGAAGTGCTAGGCGCTGCTTGCGATATAGGATTCGGTGTATTCCGTGTAGAGGAGTGACGGGACATGGGCGGTGTGCTGCTGAAAGCCCGCCTAGCATTAACATCGGGCCATGAAACAGGAGTAACATCCTGCCGATTCGGGGAAGATGCCACTGGAACGCGTGTCGGCGAAGATGAGCCTAACACGGCGGCAGGCTTAGAGCGTCGTAGGAAATCTAGGCCCGTGACTGGTGGTTTGGGCCGTGGGGTGGGTGATTCAGCAGCTTCCGCGTCGTCCGCCATGGCGAGAAGACGGACTGACGTGAAATGGGGAGAGAACTAGTGTAATCGCGGTGAAAAAGGCTGAGTGGGGCGTTTGCAAGAGAAGCTTGGAGAAGAAGGACCCCCCGAAACCCCGACGCCCGACCACAGACCCTAGTTGACGAAGCGCGCATGGCTCTCGAAAACTGTGGGTGGCACCACTTGAATGTGGTGATCCCGTAGCGCGCTTCATGAACCTTCTGTAGGCGCCGAATTTGTGGGTTTGTGGTGCTGGATTGATGACTGCTGTACTAAACTAACCAATCCCACGCTTGTGACGGGCCACGTACGACCAAAACGGTCCTAAGTGGGCAAGTCGTGACGCAGACATCACGTGAGTTCAGCATAGAACCTGACTGTTTGCCTGTTGCAGCAGCATGTTGTTGATGTGGTGGCGAAAGATACACGTGGGAGCACGGGGGGCGAAATGTATGATGCATACATTCCGGTAATCAAGGGGAAACACCCACACCACGCCTTGTTCAAGGGTAGAAAGATCCGGTAATAGACGAAACCGGAAAGTGTTCCTGATGAATCATAGGAACATGGAAAACGTTACTATTGTATCAGATACAGTTGAATAGCATTTCTTAATGAACAGATTTCACTAAGTGCTAATTTCTGAATCATCTGATTAAATTAAAAAGTAGCCTTCAAATATCGGACAAACAGACCAAAAAATTCCGCTAGCGACGTCCCTGATTGTGTTATTTTACCTACCGCGACAAGTTTGTAGTTGTAAGGTTGTTCCATCGCTTCCAACCCTGCCAATGTGAAACAAAACAATAACCATGGAGTATGGCGTCGTTCAAAGTGCGTATATTAGGGCAAATTTTTTGATTTGACATACCCTTAAGATCAGTGTACCCCTAGCTCAAAAAACTGATTATCAGTGTGACCCCCTATAGAAAAACTTTCCCATCAGGGTTTTCTGAACTTTCTAAAAATTTACCCTGTCGCATCCGTGTAAGGTTATTGTAAAGCCTGGTCAGTTTTTTTATGCTGCACGCAATACAGATCCTACTCATCATAAGACATGCCCCAAGGGTGTTCATGTCAGATTTATATGACATAGTTGCTGTAGGCTATAGTGGGGTAGCACATATGGGGTACAGGGTTTCTAGGGTTGTATTTGTACCCAATCTTTCCTTAGTCATCTCATTCCTGCTAACTCATTTCACATGGTATAGAGCGGGTTCCCTGTGGAACTCTGCCTAGGGCCCACCGAAGCGCGCCCCGAGGCGCGCTCAACTTTTTTTTCCGCTATCGAGCGACCCTCCGTGTCGCCTCCCTCCCACACGCGGCCCAGCCGCCCGCTAAGTCGCGGCCCCAGCCGCCCGCTACGATCGCGGCCCCAGCCGCCTCCTCGACGCGGCCCCCCAGCCGCCTGCTCGACGCGCCCCCCCCCCAGCCGCCTGCTCGACGCGGCCCTGCCGCCCGCTACGCCGCGGCCGCCGCCCACTAATCGCGGCCCCGGCCGCCTGCTACGACCGCGGCCCCAGCCGCCTGTTCGACCGCGGCCCCGCCGCCCGCTCCTGCCGCGGCCCCCCAGCCGCCTGCTCGACGCGGCCCCCCAGCCGCCTGCTCGACGCGGCCCTGCCGCCCGCTACGCCGCGGCCGCCGCCCACTACGATCGCGGCCCCGGCCGCTTGCTACGACCGCGGCCCCAGCCGCCCGTTCGACCGCGGCCCCACCGCCCGCTCCTGTCGCGGCCCCGGCTGCCTGCTTGCACGGCCCCGCCGCCTGCTACGACCTCGGCGCCAACCGCCTGTTCGACCGCGGCCCCGCCGCCTACTTCCGTAGCGGCCCCGGCCGTCTTCTCGCGCGGCCCCGCCGCCCACCTACTACCGGGAGCCGAGCCGCGCTGCAGCCGAGCCGCTCGGGAGTCGAGCCGCCCTGCACCCGAGCCGCCCTGTCGCCGAGCCGCCCGGGAGCCGAGCCGCCCTGCCCCCGAGCTGCCCTGCCGCCGAGCCGCCCGGGAGCCGAGCCGCCCTGCGCCCGAGCCGCCCAGCACCCGAGCCGCCAGGTCGCTGAGCCGCCTTTCTGCATACTTACTCGACCTGCCCTGCCTGGTGAGCACAGTCCCACTGCCACTGCGAGCTCTTTCCCTACTGCTTGCACTGTATCGCTGTCGTCGCCATGGCTACCCCTAGTGTCCTAGTTTTTGACGCTGAGGGTCGCGCCATTGATTTTGAGGTCTGGTTAGACGACCTGCAGCTGTTCTTACAGTGCGACAGGGCTGACGACCTTTCTCTCTTTGACCTCACCTCTGGCGCCTCTCCTGCTCCTGCTGCTGATGCTGATCCCGCTGTCCGCTCTAAGTGGGCCACCCGCGATGCTGCTGCACGTCTTGCTGTGCGTCGCCACCTCCCTACCTCTGAGCGTGCGCACTTTAGTCAGTACAAGAGTGCTCAGACCTTGTACGACGCTGTAGTTGCGCGCTACTCCTCCCCTGCCACTGCTGCACTGAGCCGTCTCATGCTTCCCTACCTCTTTCCTGACCTCTCTGCCTTTCCCACTGTCGCTGACCTCATTACGCACCTCCGCACTAGTGACACTCGCTACCGCGCCGCCCTTCCTGCTGAGTTCTGCGCTAAGAACCCCCCCCCCATGTACATCGCTCTCTACTACGTAGTCGCGCGCCTCCCTGACTCCCTTCGCGTCGTCAGGGACCACTTTCTCGCAGTCTGTCCCACCACCCTCACCGTCGACCTCCTCGAGAAGGCCCTCCTTGCAGCGGAGAAGAGCATAGTCGCTGTAGGTGCTTCTCGTGGTGACCCTCGCACCCCCATCTTTGAGGGGTGCTCTCCTTCCCCCTTGCTGCCCTCTGTTGCCTCTGCTGCTGCTGCCGACCTGCTTGGTCTTGAGTCGGTCGACGCGGCGTCTGCCCCTAGTGGGAGACGTCGCTCCAGCAAGGGCAAGGGGGGCAAGGGCGCGGGTGGAGCTGGAGGGGGCGGTGGCGGTGGCGGCGGTGGCGGCGGAGGAAGTGGGGGTGGCGGCGGGACTAGTGGTGGTGGTGGTGGTGGTGGTGGCAGCAGCGGCGGAGACGGTGGTGGTGGTGCCAGCGGTGGTGGTGGAGGCAGCGGCGGCGGTGGAGGCGGCGGAGGTGGAGGCGGTGGAGGCGGCAGCGGAGGAGGCGGTGGTGGTGGAGGAGGTGGAGCTGGTCGGGGTGGTACCCAGCAGCGTAGCGGCGGTGGTGGTGGCCAGCGCTCGCACCGGCAGCAGCAGCAGCGCTCGCGGGACATCCCTTCGCCTCAGCAGCTTCGTGAGTGGTACGCTGGGCGTCAGAGGGGTGGGGGTACTGGTCCCTGCACCTACGTTCTTCGTTCCGGCGACCGCGCGGGTGAGCAGTGTGGGGGTGCCCACGCCACCCAGCGCTGCTTTGGCCGCCTGACGGACGCCTGGCGTCAGCAGTTCCCTGGGGCTAGTGAGATCCCTCGCTGGGATGAGCTTCTCAGGGCTGGTGTAGCGATCTTTGATCTGGATTTTGATGCTATCCTTACTGCTATGTATGTTGTGGATTATAGTGAGGAGAATGAGGGTTACCGTTGTTTCCAGCCCAACCCGGGCATTGGTACTGCTGCGCTAGGTGCTTGTGAGGCTGCTGCTCTAGGTGCCAGTGCGTCTGCGCTCTCAGGTACTGGTGAGACTGCGCTCTCAGGTACTGCGTCGTCCTCGTCCTCCCTCACTTTCACACTTGACTCCGGAGCTTCTCGCTCCTTCTTTCGAGACCGCACTACCCTTACGCCGCTCGGCCGGCCGGTTGCGGTCTCCCTTGCTGACCCCTCTGGAGGTCCTGTCCTGTCTCACTTCTCCACTGTCCTCCCGTGTCCGGCTGCCCCTTCGGGCACCCTGTCGGGTCTGTACCTTCCCTCGTTCTCTACGAACTTGGTGAGTGGAGCGGACCTGCAGGATGGCGGTGTTCACCAGTTCACTCCTGCGAGACAGCGGGTGACCCACTGCACGGAGGCACGCACAGGCCGACACCTGGCCACGTTCTCGCGTCGGCCGGGGTCGAGTCTCTACACCCTGACCGTTGAGTCTCCTCCTGTCCCTGCGTCTGGTCAGGTGGCTGCGTCGGGTCAGGTATTTGCTGCTGCGTCCCGGTCAGGTCCTGAGTCTGCCCCCTGTTCTTGTCGCCTCCTGTCTCACGAGACTCTCCTGTGGCACCACCGTCTTGGCCACCCCTCCTTGCCCCGTCTTAGGAGCATGGCTTCCCGTGTCCTTGTCTCTGGTCTTCCCCAGTCTCTCCCTCCTCTCCCCTCCGGGCCAGGACCTTCCTGTGTCCCCTGTGTCGAGGGTCGCCTCCGGGCTACTCCTCACTCCTCCCACTTCCCCCCGACAGAGGCTCCCCTGCAGACGCTTCACATGGATGTGTGGGGCCCAGCCCCCGTCCGTGGGCAGAGTTACGAGCGCTACTTCCTGTTGGTGGTTGACGACTACTCGCGTTACACCACAGTCCTCCCCTTGCGCAGCAAGGGTGCGGTCACTGAGGTGCTGATCGACTGGATCCGCGAGGCTCGTCTCCAGCTCAGGAAGAGCTTCGGCTCGGACTTTCCTGTTCTGCGTCTGCACTCTGACAGAGGCGGAGAGTTCTCTTCTCGCCTTCTGCGAGACTACTGTCGTGCACGGGGGATCCGCCAGACCTTCACGCTTCCGGACTCACCACAGCAAAATGGGATTGCTGAGCGCCGCATTGGCATGGTCATGGATGTCGCTCGTACGTCCATGATGCATGCGGCTGCCCCCCATTTTCTGTGGCCGTTTGCGGTGAGGTACGCGGCGCATCAGCTCAACCTTCACCCCCGGGTCTCTCGGCCTGCGATGTCCCCTGCCTTGCTGTGGACGGGGAAGGTTGGCGATGCGTCTGTGTTCCGTGTCTGGGGATCTCGGGCGTTTGTCCGCGACTTGTCTGCGGACAAGCTGTCCCCTCGTGCTGCTCCCTGTGTCTTCCTTGGCTTCCCCACTGACGCCCCAGGGTGGCAGTTCTACCACCCCTCCTCTCGTCGTGTTCTGTCCTCCCAGGATGTCACGTTCGACGAGTCAGTCCCCTTCTACCGTCTCTTCCCCTACCGCACTCCTTCCCTCCCCCCTCCCCCGGACTTCCTTGTGCCGGTTCCCCCCCCGGTAGACCCCCTCCCCCCTCAGGTTCTTGCCCCCTCAGGTGTGTCCCAGGTAGACGCCGTTGACCCGGTCGAGGTTACTGGTGACTCTGGTGCTGCTGCGGGTGCTGAGCCTGGGGGTGCTGACTCTGGGGGTGCTGTGCGCGGGGGTGCTGAGCCTGGGGGTACTACTGCTGGGGGTGCTGGGCCTGAGGGTGCTACTGCGGAGGGTGCGGAGCCTGGGGGTGCTGAGCCGGGGGGTGCTGTGCCTGGAGGTGCTGGGTCTGGGGGTGCTGGGTCGAGCGCTGCTGAGCCTGGGGGTGCTGAGCTGGGAGCTGCTGAGTCTGGAGGTGCTGCTGGAGCTGGAGCTGGAACTTCTTTGACCGTCGAGGGTGCGGGTGCTGCCGGTCCCGGAGCTGCTGGACCTGCGGGTCCGCCTGGAGCTGGAGCTGCTGAGGGCGTTCGTGCTGAGCCTGCTGCTGTTGGTCCTGCCGCTGGAGGTGTGGGTGGCGCTGGTGCTGTCGCTGAGGGTGCTGGTGCTGTCCCTGCTGAGTCTCGAGCTGCCGCGCGGCCTCGGCCGTACTTCGTTCCGCTCCTGCAGCAGGTTCTTGGTCTTTCTCCTCCAGTAGAGGGTCCACCGCCTGTCCAGTCGCAGTCCCTACTAGAGCCTTCCTCTCCACTGCCTGCTCCCTCTCCTTACACTGGTCCTACTGGAGGTCTTGCTGAGCGTCGTGAGCCTGCGTCTCGTCCCGCGTCGCCTGTTCGTGCTGCTCGCGCTAGTGGTCGCAGTTCGCGTCAGCGTCCTCCTCCTGTCCCTGGCACGCACCGGATGTCTCTGCGTCCGTCCACTGCTCCTCTGCGTGCCCCTTTGCCTTCTCCTCCTGAGTCCTCTCTTCCTGCGCTTGTCGACCCTGAGTCGGACTCTCTTCGCGCTGCCAGTCCTACTGTCACGCGTCTGCTTGCTACTGTCGTCACTGACCCCTCTTTTGAGTCCACTGCTGCGTCTGCTCTAGTCGCTGAGCTCGTTGACTTTGCTGCTCGCTGTCGTCTCGACTACGCTGCTGGTCTTGTTGCTGAGTCTGCGTCTGTCTGTCCTCCGTCCGTCGGGGGTGAGTGTGCTCTTGGCACGGACGTCCTAGAGGACAGGCAGGAGGAGTTACAGTGTCTAGCGGCTGCTTCACCTCATCTCGCGTCTGTACTGCTTGCCCCTGAGGGAGACCCGGATGCACTAGACATCCCGACTCCGCGTTCTTACGCGGAGGCCGTAGAGGGTCCCTACTCCTCTCAGTGGCAGGCAGCTATGGATGCAGAGATGGCTTCCTGGAAGTCCACAGGCACCTACGTTGACGCGGTTCCCCCTCCTGGGGCGAACATCGTCAGTGGCATGTGGATCTTCAGGGTGAAGCGGCCGCCGGGCTCTCCACCTGTCTTCAAGGCACGGTACGTTGCTCGTGGCTTCAGTCAGCGGCAGGGAGTTGACTACTTTCAGACCTTCTCTCCCACCCCGAAGATGACTACTCTTCGGGTGCTGCTGCACATAGCCGCTCAGCGCGACTACGAGCTTCACTCTCTCGACTTCAGCACTGCGTTCTTGCAGGGTAGCCTGCACGAGGAGATCTGGCTTCGCCGTCCACCTGGCTTCACTGGGACTTTCCCTCCTGGCACCCAGTGGAGCCTCCGACGGCCAGTCTACGGTCTCCGCCAGGCACCGCGTGAGTGGCACGACACACTGAGGACTACGCTTGCGGCTCTTGGGTTTGCTCCTTCTACTGCAGACCCGTCGCTGTTTCTTCGCACCGACACTTCCCTGCCGCCGTTCTACATCCTCGTGTACGTCGACGACTTGGTCTTTGCCACAGCGGACACTGCTGGACTCGCCTACGTGAAGTCCGAGCTGCTGAAGAGACACACGTGCACAGACCTGGGTGAACTGCGCAGCTACCTTGGCTTGCAGATCACTCGGGACAGAGCACGCCGCACCATTACCTTGACTCAGTCACACATGGTGCAGCAGGTCCTTCAGCGCTTCGGCTTCACGTACTCCTCGCCTCAGGCCACTCCTCTGCCTACTCGCCACTCACTCTCAGCTCTGCCTTCGGATGAGTCCGTAGAGTCGAGTGGTCCGTATGCAGAGCTTGTTGGCTGCCTCATGTACCTGATGACCTGCACACGACCTGACCTTGCATACCCTCTGAACATTCTTGCACGCTATGTTGCTCCTGGGAGACACAGACCGGAGCACATGGCTGCAGCGAAGAGGGTATTGCGCTACCTGTGCAGTACGTCGGGCATGGGGCTAGTGCTTGGAGGGCGGAGTCCAGTGGTCCTTACCGGCCACGCGGACGCTTCTTGGGCTGACGACCAGGCTACGCAGCGGTCGTCACAGGGTTACACCTTCAGCCTTGGTTCCGGCTCTGTCTCGTGGCGGTCTACTCGCTCGTCTTCGGTTCTCGGCTCCAGCTGTGAGGCTGAGATCTACGCCGGGGCCATGGCTGCACAGGAGCTTCGCTGGCTCACCTACCTGCTGACTGACCTTGGAGAGCCGCCTCGTTCTCCTCCAGTGCTGTACGTAGACAACAAGGCCATGCTGGCCTTGTGTCGAGAGCAGCGCTTGGAGCACAGAACGAAGCACATTGCTCTCCGCTACTTCCTTGCTCGTGAGCTGCAGCAGCGTGGTCAGTTGCGACTTGCGTACGTGGCCTCTGAGGCCAACACTGCTGATGTGTTCACCAAGGCACTCGCGCCTTGTGACCATCAGCGCTTTTGCACCCAGCTGGGTCTTGTGCCTGTCTTGCCTCACTTGCTCTCCTCTTGACTTCACTTGTACTGTGACATATATATATGCCTGCTCTTGTTTGTCTAGTTTTATATATATGTCTGTACTCTTGCATGTGAACTGGCCTCTGGCCCTACTCTTGCGCTCGGACTGTGTGGTGACTTTGTGATCCACCCTGAGCTTGCTTTGTTTTGCTTGACTGGTCTTGTGACCCCTTGTTCTCCCCCACTTTGCCTATGGGGGTGTGTCAGATTTATATGACATAGTTGCTGTAGGCTATAGTGGGGTAGCACATATGGGGTACAGGGTTTCTAGGGTTGTATTTGTACCCAATCTTTCCTTAGTCATCTCATTCCTGCTAACTCATTTCACAGTTCATCGTGGTCACTTTCCTCCTTTGGCTCTGGTGCCTTCTGCTTCCCCTTCCGATCCACAGGTTTCGCTGGCGCAACTGATTTTGCAGGCTAGCGCGTTTTCTGCTTGCGCCAGATGTCCACCACGTCTGGCCAGACGTAGGGGTACTTCAGCATGTGCAGCGTCATCAGGTCGCCAAGGCGTGCATCGCACAGCGATGTACGCATCCAGCTCTTGATGATATTGTGGCGACTGAACCGTCTCTCACACTCCACTATGCTCAGCGGCAGCACAGCGAGGGCCTGCCAGAGTGTCATTAGGTTCGGATAGCTGCGTCGCCAATCCCGGCTCTTCAACATGCTGTGAAGACCCTGGTGAAAATTTTCTCCCGCGTGATGGCGTGGCATGATGTGACAAAAGCTCCTCAGCTCCTTCTTGGCGGCCTTAAAATCGAATCCTGACGGAGAAGGGGTTTGGGGCAGTGGAAGTAGTTAGCGGTGGTTGTCCGATGTTGGGTGACATGCATGAGACAATATGTATCAAAGGAAATGAAAAATCACAGCTCACCTGGTAGCATGCCGCCAAACAGCTCGTCGTTTGCGGCCAGCCACTCGAGGGTCTTCAATTCGCGCTGGTCATCTCTGCTCGGCCACGATTCAACTTGAAACAGCTTCACGCCGACCAACTGCTACAAGTCCCACATGCGGTACTTCATGCGTGCGACAATTTCCTTCGCGAACCCTGTGCAGAGCTTCTCGCAGTCAGCAAGCGTGCCCCCAAACTTGTGCTTCTTGATTGGGGTCTCGCTCAGCTCGAACCTGTGTGATGTCTGCCGCCCCTCCGAGTCAATGCCTTCAACCACCACCGTCTAGTTGTCACCACCTTGCTGCTTAATGAACTTGGACAGGTGCTTGGTGGCCTCGCCGCCAAAGGTGTCGCTGTACTGGATGTAACGGTGAATGATGATGGTGATCGTGTGGTCGACTTCTTTGGCCACAAGTGTGATATCCACCTGGAACACAACGGGCACGTGAAACATGTTAGTCGAGGAAACTTTTAGTGTTACCACACTTGCAACCTGAAAAAGTTGGCCACAAGTGTAATGTCCACCTGGAACTTGCCTTGCGGTGCTGGAAGAAGCGGTTGAGAGAGTTGAGCACAGCAAGAATGTCTGCGAGGAAGTACAAACAGAAGTGAAATTTGAAGGTCTGTACTGTTGCAGCAATTTTGTGGCGGTACTCAACAATCATGACGATCGCCGCCCCAAGTACTCTGCATAGCCTCGCTATAGCATCTCCACGTGATAGCCAACGGACGTTGAACAGTCCCTGGTGTTCGAGATTTGTCTTGTGTATCTCTTGTTGCAGCTCCTTGAATCTGTCGTACCAAATGTTGGAACGGCAGATAATCTCTCCCACGGCTCGCACAGCAGCGTCGATCATGTTCAGGTCGGGGAAAGCCTTCGCAACATCCTTGACCACGAGGGCTTCCCTGCAACACGTCCAAGTGGTAGTTTAGTAAAGCTAAACGAGAACGGTTTTACAACATCGCATGCGATTAATGTCGAAAACGCTTAAGCGAAGCTCACCGATGCGCGACGCAGTGACATCCGACGAGATGCGGCACATGCTCTTGCAAACGGCTGACCAGGCCGTTCTTCTCCCCCGTCATCACAGAAGCTCCGTCGGTGCCGATGTCGGAAACCCGCTTGATGTCCACCCCAACAGACTCCAGGTGGCTTGTGAGCATAGTGAAAAGCGAGGAAGCGTCGCACTTGTGCACCGTCAGCAGTGCCAGAAATTCCGTGACGGACTCGCCGTTTTTTAGGAAGGTGGCAAACACGATCAAATGTTTGCCGCGAGCGCGATCGGTGCTCTCGTCGCAAGTAAGGCCGATGAATGGTGAAGCGAGAAGATGCTGCAGCTGCTGTGTTTTCTGGTACTTAGCCATCGCCGAGGCCATTTCGTTGAATCCGTACCTGCCACAAGCCGTGGTGAAAGGGCTTAGACACAGATGGAATGCGAAACCATTGGTTGCGGCCTGGTATTTTGGCACACGCTTACTGTGTGATGTACACGCCGTAGGACTGAAGCGGGATGTCATCGACTCCCTCCTCCGCGAGGAAGCCTATGAGCTTCGGAAACATCGCGATCGGTGCGTCGTGGTCGCAGATAAACTCCACGCCGCGCATGAGACGGGTCAGCCGCGCCCCCTCCTTGTCGGTATTGGCAAAGTCGTCGATCCTCTTCTGTT